CTCTCTCTCTCTCTCTCTCTCTCTCTCTCTCTCTCTCTCTCCTCTGTCACTCTCTCTTTAAAAAAAAAAGTATCCTTTGGGCTGGTATCTCTGTCTACTGATAGCTTTGTCACCTCAGTCCTAGTGGTCCTCTATTAGCCACTTCCTACAAGTTATGTTATGATTTTTATCAAGCCTCACCTTTCAGTGGCTTCCAATAGAGTTCCTAGTTCATGCTGTACCTCTCTTAAACCAGTTCTGCCTTTACTCAGTGCTAGCATCATTCCAGGAGCAGCTGCTATTGTAGAAGTGGTAAGGTTCATGGTATATGAGAAACAGGAGTGATAGATTCATTCACTGGGTCTTAAAACTTCTGTTGGGATGTGATACACATCACTTTCACATCTCCTCAAAGTGAAAGTCATATTGGCACACTAAATGCCAACGGGGCAGTAAGGTATCCTACTTCTGCAGAAGGAGAAAATATTTTTTAACAATATTATAATTTACTCCAAATCTACTGTATGCATAATTTCAGAGCTACCATCTGGTTCTGCTGGTCTTCAGATTTTTGTGTTCTTTACACATCCTATTTGAGACTTCAGGATTGTGAATTTGGGGCAGGTGCTCTGCTTTTCTTGGTCTAGCTTCTGCCTTTCTCCATCCATCCATCCATCCACCTATCCATCCATAGTTAGCCTTTTTTTTTTTTAAATTGGGTAGAATTGTTGAATGTAACTCATGAAGAGGAGCTAAGAAACTTATGAAAGGGATGCCAGGAATGGGAGGAAAAGAGTGGAAGATAAAAGAAGAGGAATTGTAAGGACAGCCAACATGTATGCATAAAACAGATAAGCAAATATCTAAAATAATAGTATCACTACACATAGAATATCTGCACATTCGAAGTTTAAAATATCACAGAAAACAGGAATCCTTCCACTCCAAGAGCATTTTAATTTTTAGATCAAGGACCCAAGGCCCTGTAGAGCCCATCCTACAGGGGCACTGCAGAAACAGTTAGCACCCAGTTTTCTCAGGAAGTAGTGACAACAGCTCAGAAGCTACATCCTGTGACCACTATTATAGTTAATGGTGTTTCTGCAACAAGCTGTAGTGTCTGAAACTGGCAGCAGCAGCGGCAGCAGTGGTGTCTTCCTGGGACCATCTGGCAGCACTATTTTGGGCATTGGTGCTGGTGCTATAACTTTCAACTCTGATTCTGCCTTTCTCTTTTAGAACTTATGAGCTATCCAATAACTCTTCACAGATTCCTTTTTCTGTTTAATTTGGACAACATGTTTCTGTTGCTTGCTACTTAGCTGATACAGAAAGTGATACCTGGTGGTCTCTTGTCCATAATTTATTGGAACATGAATGATGTTCTGAGAATAAGAGGATAAGCAGTGTTGCATTGGGAGCTTATAGTGATGAAGGTTTTGAATTGCTGCTTTGGAGAATGGGAAACATAGTCAATGGATGTGTGGGGGGACAGAGAACGCACATTATGGGCCCTACTTAGGCTGGCAATTGCAGACTTGATGAGGAAACTGGCTAATTATGCATCCTACAGAAAATTCTAATGCTATTTATTTTTAACGAAGTGAACCAGTTTCTTACAAGGAAATTCCAGGAATTAAAAACTTGAAAGGATCAGCAGAGTGAAATCAGCATCTATAAAGTCAATGGATTTGGCAACAGTCATAAGAGGGAATGAGATAGGGCAATGGTTGATGCCTCAGGTTGCTTTTCTGGGATAGATTTGTTTTGAAAACTGCTTTTTTATTGAATTGTTCCAAATGTGACCTTTTAAATATGAAAATCTTGTTAACCCAATAGAACTTTCAAGGTGCAATGTCATCTTACCTGGAGACAAGCCTACTTCAGAGGTGATTTTATAGTGTTATTGTGTAATCCAGGGAATATTTATAGATGTGTAGGTATGTTTCAATCTTTAGTGATTACTGACAACACTGACTCTCCACTAGAAATTATTTTAGAGTTTTCCGTAGTAAGTCTCAGTTAATCCATCCCCGGACAGACAGGCAAGACCAGTAGTCATTCTGTATGATTCATATTTTTTTTATTGTGGATGAGAGATGGCATGGTATATCTCGAAATGGAAGTGCAACACCTATTAATTTCTTTAGAAGCAGTTATATCAGATAGATCAAAACTCAAATCTCTACAGGATTTTTGGAATATTACACACACACACACTCACACACACACACACACACACACACACACACGCTATTAGGATTTATCACATGGATTTGAAAAATGCCATAAGTAAAATAATAGCCTCTCTCACATAACTTTACATGCCAAAATCCTATTATAAGTTATTTTGAGAAATGATTGATTTTAGGGCTTAGGCAAGCAAAACACAAGATGAGCCTAGAACATCTTATAATGCTAGAAAGCAAGGAAGCGCTAAAAAGAAGGAGGAAAAGACTGGGACACATGAAAGGACATGGAAGTTAACCTTTAAAAGCTCTCAAAGGCCAAAGCTGGAAAAATTCGATCAACAAATAAATAACATGTATTGGTTTGCAATCCAATGTGTAAAATAAATATTTGTGAACCCATAGTGATACAAATAAGTGAATACATAAACCATACGTGGAGAAAGGACAAATCAGATAGTATATGTAGATGTAGATTCCGTTTATAGTATATGTAGATTCCGTCTCCCTTCTGGGGATGCAACTTAATCCCATAACCCCACTTCTGGGAGTGAGCTGGACTCAGGGACTCCATTGCAGAATAAATTAGGAGAAGGGAAAAAATGTAATTTTAGAGTGGCAAACACCTGGCAAACACTCCTTTAACCAAATGAACATATCACCACTGAGAAATCACGTTGATCTTATATATCCTCTAAGGTGATGTAAAGAAAAGATAGCAAACTGTAGAGAAATGAGGGGCACCTAGTCTGATGAAAGATGCAGTCTAGGTTGGGAAATGTAAAGAAGATCATATTGTCAAACCACCAACTGGAGAGGAAACCAAGTGCTTAAAGAAGGGACAATTTGAGAACTAGTAAATTAAAGTTAACTTTTTTCTTAGGTGTGATCGTGAAGATTATGCTCACTTTAAAATACCCCTTAGGTTTTAGAAATCCTGATATTTATGGATAAAATTATACATCTGGAATTTGTCTTAATGATACAGGAGGGAAGGAAAGTGAGTGGGGCTATAACTGAAGCAACTGGTGGAAGAGGATCAATGTTCATGGAGTTCATTATATAATTCCATCTATTGTTATATATGTTCATATTTTCCAAAATGACCAAATTTTGGAAGTTGTAAAGAATTAATGGATTAAGAAGCGATCATCAATGTTGAGATTCAGAGAGAGTATGTTCTTCCTGAAAAGTATACAACATTGCATATTAAGTAATCATGTTAGAAAACCAAAAATGAGGGCTAGGATTGTGGCTTAGCAGTAGAAAGCTCACCTAGCACATGCGCAGCCCTGTGTTTGATCCTCAGCACCACATAAAAATAGTAATTTCTTTTTTAAAAAAGTATTGTGTTCATCTCCAACTAAAAAATAAACATTTAAAAAAAGAAAAGAAAAAAGAAAACCAAAAACAAAATGAATGTCAAAAACCTCTGCTCAGAATCTGATCAAGATTTTTTTTTTTTAAAGAGAGAGTGAGAGAGGGGAGAGAGAGAGAGAGAGAGAGAGAGAATTTTTAATATTTATTTTTTAGTTCTCGGCGGACACAACATCTTTGTTGGTATGTGGTGCTGAGGATCGAACCCGGGCCGCACGCATGCCAGGCGAGCGCGCTACCGCTTGAGCCACATCCCCAGCCCATCTGATCAAGATTTGAGAATGATGCTTTTTAATATTGTAGCTGCCTGCCATCTATTGCTAATTAAATGGAAATTAGTGAATTACAATGAAATAAAGTAAAAAAAAAATTTAATACCTTGGTCGTATGAGTAACAGTTCCAAATGTCCAATGGCCATCTGTAGATAGGTAGTGGATAAAGTATTGGATGGTGTATAAAATGTTTCCATCACAGCAGAAAGTTGTATTGATCCTCACTGTGCCAATTTCCAGGAAATATAAGTGCAGAGTAATTGTATCAGATGACACTACAGGGATGCAACACTGTATGATAAACAATTGAGTTTCCAAATTTAAAAAGAAAATACTAGTAAAAAATTGAGTGAAGTCTGAGCAGTGCTCGTGAGCCCAGTGGTTTTGTGGTCAGGCCTCAGAAACCGGAAGTGTTTGCAGTGTGGCTGACCAACTGACTAAAGTGCAGATTGCAGAATTCAAAGAAGCTTTTCCGCTATTTGACAAGGATGGGAATGGGACTATAACAACAAAGGAATTGGCAACTGTAATGTGGTCTCTTGGGCAGAATCCCACAGAAGCAGAGTTACAGGACATGATTAATGAAGTAGATGCTGATGGTATTGGCACAATTGACTTCCCTGAATTTCTTTTGACAATAATGGCAAGGAAAATGAAAGATGCAGACAGTGAAGAAGAAATTAGAGAAGCACTCCGTGTATTTGATAAGGATGGCAATGGCTGTATTAATGCGGCAGAGCTTCGCCATGTGATGACAAACCTTGGAGAGAAGTTAACAGATGAAGAGGTTGATGAAATGTTTGGGGAAGTAGACATTGATGGTGATTGTCAAGTAAACTATGAAGAGTTTGTACAAATGATGACAACAAAGTGAAGACATTGTACAGAATGTATGAAATTTCTTGTATTAAATCATTTATTTGCCTTTCTTTGTAACTTATCTGTAAGAGTTTCCCTCTACTGTCAAAAAAATATGCATGTATAATAATTAGGACTTCATTTCTCCATGTTTTCTTCCCTTATCTTACTGTTGTTGTCCTGAAACCTTATTTTAGAAAATTGATCAAGTAACATTTTGCATGTGGCTTACTCTGGATATATCTAAGCCCTTGTGCACATCCAAACTTAAGATGGAGTTGGTCAAATTGGGTTATGCCTTTTTAAATTTGTTTTAATACTTATTTTTCACTTTTTTAGGTAGACATAATATCTTTATTTTATTTTTATGTGGTGATGAGGATCGAACCCAGTGCCTCACACATGTCAGGCAAGTGCTCTAGCACTTGAGCCACAACCTCAGCCTTGGGTTATACCTTTTTTTTTTAAAAGTAGTTTTCTTTAGGAATTGTCACGTTGTTGTTGAAGTGTGGAGTTGTAACTCTGCGTGGACTATGGACAGTCAACAATATGTACTTAAAAATTGCACTATTGCGTATGATATGTCAAGAGCTTTGTAATGTTGTGAACAACCAATAAAAAAAAATTGCACTATTGCAAAACGGGTATATTATCTAGGTATTCATACATTATTTTTTTGTATTGCTGGTTTTGTACCAGAAACATTTTCTTTTATCATTATTTCCTTTTTAAACTTTGTTTAGCCACTTAAAGAAAATCTGTTTATGGCACAATTTGCCTCAAATCCATTCCAAGTTGTATATTTTTTTTCCAATAAAAATTATAATAAAAAATTAAGTGAAGAGAAAATCCATAGATTAAAAAAATAGTAAAAGACATAGCCACCTATTATAATGTATAGACCTTATTTAAAATCTGATTCAAGCATATGGTTAAATTATGTGGCAGGAAGAAAAAATATGAAAAGTAGCTGTAGAGTTCTGGTATTAAATTGTTAAATTTTTTTTTTGGAGATTTTCCATAAGTTTAATTTTTTATTATAGCAACTGCTGCTTTAAAAGCCAGTCATAACTCATATGGCTTACAAATGACTGCCTCATGCCGAGAAAGCAAATATATTTTCTTCCGAGGAGATGCACACTTGCCCCGGATCCTATGGGTGGTTTGCACTGAGATTCTGTAACAGCTGAGGTGAGTGTGAAATGCACCAAGTTAGTCTAGGGACTATTGTCCTCAGCTGCCAGGATGTGCTTGATGGGCCTCAGTCACTGGCAACAAATGACTAGAAAGAGTTTTGGGATTTTAGGTTGAAGAAGAACTTCAAGATCATTTCATGTAATGCTTGAATCTCCTAGGACAGCCAAGACAAGACTATCTCTGATAACATTATCCCCCAAAGCACTTATATTCCCAAGTCCCATCTTAAGTTTCTATACAGCCTCTTCTTTGGTACCAGAACACAGCACTGGAACCAAACGCCACTTTGTCATGTACCATGAATAACACCTGCACATTCACACTTTCTGTTTCTGTTCAGATTTTTGGCTTGGAGCAACAGAACTCTACTCCGGTTACCTTCAGCAAATAAGACATTTACTGTGAAGAATGGCAGGAAGAGGTAACGAGTCCAGGGGTGAGCATCTGGATCCAGGCACTGGGAGACAAGGACAGCTTTTAAGTAGCACCATCAGGATGAGTCAGATCTGATGGTTTTCTAACTTACACCTTCCAATCGCAGGGAAGCTCTGTCTGCTAAGTCTCGATGGATGTCCACTCCTTTGCCAGACAGAGGCCAAAATCACCCAGACTGCCTCCAAAGTGTTGTTCCAAGTCACAGGGTAGAGAGTGGGAAGAAGAAGCATACCAACCAGGTGTGGTAACCCACACTTGTGATCCCAGCAACTCAGGAGGCTGAAGCAGGAGGACTGCAAACTGGAGACCAGCCTCAGCAATTTAGCAAGGTGCTGAGCAACTTAGCAAGACACTGTCTTTTTAGTAGCATATTGATGCTGGGAGGTATTGGTCAAGTAGCATATTGATGCTTGGAGGTACTTGTGCCCTGGACCACCTCAGGGCACAGTCATCCAAGTATGCATAGGGTGGCCCCTCTGTCATCCTCTGTCAATGACTGGATGCTTCATTTCTGCCTGCCTGGGGCCCATGGGTGGCCGAAAGCAGGATGGCTCCCTTTAGCAGCCATCTTCTTTGCCCCGTCACCATTTTACCCTAAGAGTTGTCTGATGTCAAATCACATGAGATTTGAAGTCTTATCATTTGCTCCAGCTTCAATTAGTTTCTGTTAGTGAATTGCATTAGCACCCCACCCCCATGCCCATGTCCCACCCCTTGAACTGTTAATTTCCGTGTGAGAGTTGTATTATGAGATTTTAACAAATACTAGAGTAGTTTCAGCTGAAATTATATGATGTATGGGATTTACTTTTAAGTAATTGGGGTGAGGTGAAAGTGGTAGGTAGAGAAGGTGAAAGATTAGCTATTTATTAATAATTGTTAGAGTTGAATAATGGGTACATTGGGCTCATTGTACTACTTTCTTTTATTTATGTGATAATTTCCACAATAATTATTTTAATTTTGGGAATTTATTTCATCTTATCAAAAATCAGATGTTAGTATTTTAGTTTGCAAATACATTTGTTAATATTCCAAGATGGGCGACAAAGATACATAATAGAGCAATTTTTATCATGCAGCTGGGCTAAAGCATACACAGTGCCATAATTGAAAGAGACTTTGAGCCAGATGATTTGCTTTTTATATTTTGATTGGTGATCCATGAATTGGTAAACAGCTTGCTGCATAATTATACTGGCAGTAAAAGTGTTTGTTTGACTCTAACAGATTTCCAAAAGTAGTTTTGTATTCAGATCATTTGGAAATACTAATTTAACTAAAAATTTTAAAAACATTTTTTTAACTGAGAAAAAGATAGGACAGAGGGATGAGTTGCTGAGGGCCATTACCAAGTAGGAATGACGCATCGAAATTTCCTTGCCAAGCATACCCCATGCTGCTTAGAGGACATTCGATGGGACATTGCATGCATGCTTTAATAAGGTGACCTTGCTCAAGGACCAAGGCAGATCCGGGTTTAGAGCTGATCAGGTTTGAGGAAG